CATCCAAAATAATTTGTTTAAATCTTTAGACGCAGTAGCTGCCAGGATTAGCCACAAATGAGACAAAAAGAGGCACCGGTGGGACAAAGAAGGACACGCACACAAATACCCTGGCATTACCATTGCTTGGCCACAGCCAACAGCTTGTGCTTTACCAGAAAGGTGGCGGCCGTGGTAGCACCCCCTTCTGAGAGAGACACGTCTCGGGGTGAGGGGAAGACCACGATCATTACTCGCTCTTGCAGCGTGCTGCGTTTATGCTACTGATCGGGATACGGACATTATCTGTGCTACAGCCCTTGTGCTGCAGGGACCCTCAGCACAGTCTGGCACTAGCAAATTCAACCTCTTGCATGTCTGCAAAGTCAGAAAGTCGCCCCACTCCAGGGAAGAGAACAGAGAAGGAGCCAGGGACAGACGTGGGCAGGGAAGCCCAGCTCCCCCTGGCCCGCCGTGCACCTCGCCGCGTGCAGACCCCTGGGTTCTCACCCCTCCAACACAGCCAGGGAAGGCGGCGAGAAAGGGAACTATCTGGTCCAGAGAAGGCTGCCCCACTAGGGAAGGCCAGGCCTACCCGTCGCATGGAAGAGACGTGGGCGCATGCCCGCGCAGGAAGGGTTAGCCCCCGGCGTGCGCTGGCTGATCCCTGCGGCAGGGCTGCTGACTCTGTTTGCAACTATTCTGGGAACACCAACGTGCCCGCGACGCACAGCGCAAACGGGCCCGTGCGCTTGCGTACGTCAGGTACGGGCTACGGCGCGCAGACCTGACGTCAGGACATGACCGGTACGTTCAAAACCTCGCTGGACCCCTGCAGGAGTTGGATTCAACGTTTAATGTTGATTTGATCACGGGTCTCGCGGGTGTCTCCTGGCCGCCCCCGGCGACGGAGATCTCGTTCCTCAGGGGGGCCCCGAGGGCCGGCAGCCCTGCCCTGGGCACGGGAGTGAGGGGGATGCCGGACCGACCACCAGGCATTGTCGCCTGCCTGGCCCCCCGGCGCGGGGGTGCAGCGTACGCACGGGCGCGGCCTCGGAGCAGAGGGATGGTGGCGAGACCCCCCCGGCGGGGCCTGTGCCGCGCCGCACCAGGGCGGGTGTGGCAGGTCTGGGCCCGCAGGCGGGAGGCCCCGGGCCCGAGGGGCGCCTGGCT